TGGACGCCATCTTGAATTTCTTAGTCCGCCAGCACTTTCAGGGAAAATGAAATTCAATTTCGTAATCTGGGGACTCAACCGAACATTTTGGTATATGAACCCCCCTGTTTATGATCGGGGACCAGTTAGGTGTTCCTAAGCTTAACAAATTTGCAGCACTAAATTAGATGCTTCATTTTTCTGTTCAAATTTCCATTCCCTTAAAAAAAAAAAAAAACAACAGACATTTGCTGCCACATTATGTCTATTTGAAATATCAGAACAAAATTTACTTGGGTATTTTTTAATATTGAACTTTGGCCCTTACCATGCATGCTATTTTTTTTTTTTACTCGAGAGCCTAACAAAGTATCCATTATTTTTTTTTTTTTTGGTACAAAAGGATTTCAGATTTTGTAAATGTCACAGGGTGAGAAAAATGTGCAACCTGACCGGGACTCGAACCCGGGACCCTCGGAATACCGTATAGCCGCTCTACCGACTGAACTATCCGGCCACTTACACATCTTCTCCCCTATTAAGTGAACAGTTCTGAACCGTAACATACTCCCCTGCTATATTAAAATTCGTCCTCGAATTTCACAGAGTTACAGAGCAATGTGAATTAAACTCTGAGCTGTATTCAGTCACGGTCCCCCGTTGGGCGCCAAATGTCACAGGGTGAGAAAAATGTGCAGCCTGACCGGTACTCGAACACGGGACCCTCGGAATACCGTACCACGCTCTACCGACTGAGCTATCCGACCACTTACACATCTTCTCCCCTATATAGTGAACAGTTCTGAACCGTGACATTTAGATTTTTTTCTTTCTTGTTAAATCAGAAGGCTTTACTGAAAAAAAGTATACATGTTCTCTTATTATGTAAACTTTGTATGTTACCATTTCTAAATAAAGATATTATTATAATTATTATTATCTTAAATGGACTTACGGATCTATCAATCTTGATATAATTATTCATCATTATTAAAGTAAAGATGTACTCATGTGACTTGTGCAGACCATGATCAGATGGCAGTTGATTTTGATTTGCACAAGTCACTTACATAAATTTAGTTGCTACCAGGAGGGTAAGGGTAAAGGAATGATACAATTATAATTGGTGGTTCATTTCCACTTATGTTACACAGCTGTTAGCTGTTAAATTGACAGCTCCCTTCAGCATTATAATGCATTGAAATGACTGTAGTTAATGGTTTACAAATTTTTTATATTATTTTAATGTACTATGTATATATTATGTTTAGTAAGTAATTTCCTGACAAGATGACATTTATTAGTTTACCCTTTTAGTATAAATTCAGAGTCTTCCAACTGAACAGGCAGACTTCTATTTTATTAACAAACTTGTGTCTGCTTGTTCAGGTAAGAAATTTTATAACTTTTTATTTTTTAAATGTTTCTAATGTCTAACAAAAAGGTAATAACAGAAAATAACTTTCTAAAATCATTAACTAATATAAATGTAAATTATGTTGTATTTACATTCAGTTGTATTTGTTAATATACAGTATTTCTTACTATGCTTGTTAATTTCACTTTCAATATGTATTCATAGTTTAATACTTTAATAGCTTGAAATAATACAATATATATCTTGTCTTGAATATCTTATGCTACTCTTGTTTAATGATTTTATCATAAAATGATCAAAATAAAAAACTTCTATTTTATCAACAAACTTGTGTCTGCTTGTTCAGTGAAACCCAGCCAAATACAAAGCTAATACAACACAAAAATCGCCTTGTGAAACTTGTCGACTTTTTCTCCCAGTACAATGATAAGCCAAATTTTTAGCTTATTTTAATACTCTTGAAATTTCTTCAGTAATCTAGTTATATGCATTGTACACAAGTTTAGAAAATATTGATAAATGCATATAATTGCCTAAATAACAAACAGAAAGTGTTAACAGTACATCTAAAATTCTTCTTATTGTAGCAAGATTTACTTTCCAATTTAGTCATCAAAAATATTATGGAAACATCTGAAAACTGATCACGTCAATACAAAAATGTTTTATGTTTGGTTTGAAGACACAGCAAACACTGCAAAGATCATGCATAAGGTGTATTTCCAGCTTTACTACATGGAGGTGGAAGACTTCAGATGCCCCTTCGTACTTTATTTCAGATACACGAAGTATATTAGTGTTTCAGTACCATACCATAATTCAACAGGGCGTATATAAATTGGAAGTGGCTCTATCAGTCAGTTTAGTAAATGACTCCTCCCAATTAATGAAATATGGACCCTACAATGTTTCTTTTTTCTTTAATAGTAAAAACAACATGTGAATAAAAAAATGAATGCATTTATTTCTTGAATGAATGTTTCACATGAACAATATGTAAGTTTTACATCTAAATGACACATGTACAGACTTCCCGAAATACGTAGGTCGGTCCGATAAATTTTGATTAGGTCTGACGATTTTTTTTCCGGATCGGACAGATTGTCCGGCTTTTATCCCAGTCGCATGTATACAAAATGGTGTCGCTAAAGGTGCCAAACCTAGGAAAAAACGTAAATCTACGTCAGAGGAGTGCTGGGCACAGCAGTAAAAGGATGAAAAGAATAGACCTGAGACAAAATTTAATGAAAAATGAAAGCAGGACCGTGAATTTTTAGTATATGACAGGGAGATGAAGATTGCGCTGTACAGACTGTGCCGATTGTACGGCGAAAAAATTAAAACTGAAAAGTTTCCCTTTGATTTTAATTAATTTAATTCGGTCTGACAGATTTCGTTTCGGTCCGACAGATTTTCATGGTTTGTCAGACCGAATGTCTGACAGTTTTTTTCTAACTTTTGGGAAGTCTGCATGTATGAGAATGATAAGCAGACCGTGATAAGAATAACAAACAAATATCACTTGAAAAACTTAATACAACAGTAATTGATTCTTATTGAATTTTGTCATTAAATATTGTCCGATATACAGATATACATTACATCTGTTCAAATATGAAGCGACTGTCCAAACATGTAGTTGAATTTGGTGTTTATTTCAAAATTAATCTTTATTTTTACAAACATTTAAGATCTTAAGTTCAGATCATTATAAAGTCCTTGAACACATGACAGTTTTTACAAATCCTTGCACAAACAATTTCTTCAGCTAGTTTCCATGGTTTCTGAAAAAGAAAACCATAAATATAAACATTTTATGGTTGATGCTTAGCAAACTACGATAGTTTACAAAAAAAGATTTTTACTTGTATACATCAAAGAATTTTATCTGCATATTCCTCATCTTCTAGACTATCAAACAATTATATAGAAAACATTTTCCTGTACAGATTATTGTCCGTTTCGGGAAAATAACTAAACTTACAAACATTAATAAAGAACATCTTGAAAAAATGTAAATGATTTCAATACAAGCTTTCATAATAAGTTGCATAAAGCTGGGCCAACCTGAACTACACTGTACATTGATCAGGCAATCGGGTCAGCCTGAACTACACTGTCAATCAATAACAAGAGGGCCATGATGGCCCTAAAGTCGCTCACCTGTATATAGGCCCCCGGAGGGGGGCCAGTTTAAACCCCAGGGCTTTTATTTGAACAAACTTGGTAGACACCCATTAGAAGATGTTTCATGCTAAACATCTAAGGTCTAGCTGGTCAAGTTTTTTCTTTACACGTATAGTTAAAAAGAATGACACACGTGGGGCAGGGCCAGTTTTGACCCAAGGGCTTTTATTTAGACACTTACTAGTAAATGTTTCATGCTTAATATCTAAACTCTAGCTATTCGGGTTTTTTCAAAGAAGATTTTTAAGTTTTTGCTATACACATATAAGGAAAATCAATGCCCCCCCGGGCGGGGCCAATTTTGACCCCAGGGCTTTTATTTGAACAAACTTTGTAGACACTCACTAGAAGATGCTTCATGCTTAATATCTAAACTGTAGCTATCTGAATTTTTTCAAAGAAGATTTTTTAAGTTTTTGTTATACACATATAAGGAAAATGAATGACCCCCAGGGCGGGGCCAATTTTGTCCCCAGGGCTTTTATTTCAACAAACTTAGAAGACACTCACTAGAAGATGTTTCATGCTTAGTATCTAAACTCTAGCTATTTGGTTTTTTTCAAAGAAGATTTTTTAAGTTTTTCCTATACACATATAAGGAAAATCAATGACCCCCGGGGCGGGGCAAATTTTGACCCCAGGGCTCTTATTTGAACAAACTTGGTAGACATCTAAAAGAACATGTTTCATGCTAAATATCTTAGCTCTAGCTCTTTGGGTTCTTTAAAAGAAGATTTTTTAAGTTTTTACTATATGCATATAGGGAAAATCAATGACCCCCGGGGCGGGGCCAATTTTGACCCCAGGGCTTTTATTTGAACAAACTTGGTAGACACCGATTAGAGGATGTTTCATGCTAAATATCTTAGCTCTAGCTCTTTGGGTTCTTTAAAGAAGTTTTTTAAGTTTTTACTATAATTATGCATATAGGGAAAATCAATGACCCCCTGGGGCGGGGCCAATTTTGACCCCAGGGCTTTTATTTGAACAAACTTGGTAGACACTCACTAGAAGATGTTTCATGCCAAATATCTAAGCTCTAGCTCTTTGGGTTTTTTAGAAGAAGATATTTAAAGTTTTTTCTTTTGGTTGCCATGGCAACCAGAGTTCTGCATGGAATTAAATTCTTTGAACACTTTTCAAAGGTGACCACCAAAGGAACATTCCTGTGAAGTTTGGATGAAATTGGCTTAGTGGTTTATGAGGAGATGTCATTTAAAGTAAAAGTTTACGGATGGACGACGGACGGACGACGGACGAAAAGCGATCACAAAAGCTCACCCTATCACTTTGTGACAGGTGAGCTAAAAAGGATGTGCAGGCTAGCCTGTCTCTATACTGGTGGCAATGGCTGACCACTTTTGGTTCAAGCAGGTTGAGGGTTAAAAGTACATTAAACAAGCAATTATCATAGTATTGCAAGCAATCCATAAGTCCCCTACCGGTAAGAGCCCAAGCAACATTCTGAAGGGCCATTGGCCATTCACTTAGGTTCCTATTTTAAGTAAATTTGTTGAAAAAGTTCTTTAAAAGTGATCACAGGAAACAGTTTTCATGTACAGACAGACGGACTGAAAGACACTCTAAAGTTATTTTTTAAACATTCCATGTTATCAAAATATAACATTTTTAAAATCCTATCATGATTGAAGAAGTAAAAATTACCAATTTCTCAAAAAAAAGTCTAAGTTCAAAAGGGGCATAATTCTGGAAATAGAGTATTGAACACTCACAAATGTTGAGTGACAATAAGAAACATTTATATGAAGTTTGAAGTAGATACATTCAGAAAAAGAAGTTATTAAAAAAAACAATGTTTTTTTCATGAAAATTTTAAGTTCAAGGGAGGTAATTCTGATAAATATTGTGCTAGAGTTGTAAACCTTGTCACATATGATGTGGTTGATGACAAGCAACTTATATTTAAAGTTTGAAGAAAATACCTTAAGAAATAAAGAACTTATAGTGAAAAAACTTAAAAACTAGAATCAGAAATCTTGAAATTCAGTCTATTTGTTGCCATAGCAACCAGAATTTTCAACATAGGAAGATAAAAAAGGATGTGCATAATTTCCATACTGCCATCTATCCATATGTCAAGTTTCATAAACATATTTTCAGTACTTTTTGTGTTATCACTGGATCCAGGTTATGTGTAAAATTTGCCATATTTTCAGTCTATTTGTTGCCATAGCAACCAGAATTTTCAACACAGGAAGAAAAGAAAAAGACGTGCATAATCTCCATACTGCCATCTATCCATATATCAAGTTTCATAAAAATATTCTCAGTACTTTTTGCGTTATCGCGGGATCCAGGTTATGTGTAAAATTTGCCATATTTTCAGTCTATTTGTTGCCATAGCAACCAGAATTTTCAACATAGGAAGAAAAGAAAAAGACGTGCATAATCTCCATACTGCCATCTATCCATATATCAAGTTTCATTAAAATATTTTCAGTACTTTTTGTGTTATCGCGGGATCCAGTTTTGTGGACGGACGGACTGACGGACGGACAGACGGATGGACGGACTGACGGACGGAGGGTAAACCTAAAGTCCCCTCCGGTAAACCGGTAGGGGACTAATAAAGGACAAACCTGACAATTCATTGAACATAAATTCTTGTTGGTATTCTTTGAGGAACTGTGTAGATCTGGACTCATCAAGGAACAATGAATATACACGTTTAATGTCATCAACATCAACTTCTGTAGCCTGAAATTCAAGTCCAATCATATTATATGTTCATACATTGGCCAAGATAATCAAAACATTATGCTTGAAATAAGACTATGATTTTATACAGAATCTGTAATGAGAAACCAAATTTGTTTTGAGTACAAGATTGTTATCTTATGATGTTGGTACATGTTTGGTGAATTGCTTGTTTCTTTTGATTATTGTATGTTCATTCAGATTATAAATTGTTTGTTCAGATTATTTGTTTGATTTTTGCAAGTTTGTTCGGATTATTGCTTCTTTATTTAGATTATTGCTTGTTTGTTCAGATTATTGTTTGATTTTTGCAAGTTTGTTCGGATTATTGCTTCTTTATTTAGAATATTACTTGTTTGGATTACTGCATATTTGTCTAGATTATTGCATTTTTTTAGGATTACTGCATGTTTGTTTGGATTATTCCTTGTTTGGATTGGAAAATGGATTTAGCACTAATTTGAACCAATATATTAGATGTAGACATTTGACTGAGGAGTGTCACTAAAATAAGTACCAATATGACCTCATTCTCAACTGGCAAATGCAAAAATAGTTTTAATGATGATTTGATCAAAATTAGCCATTAATCCTATTTCTTATGAGAATATAAACACTTCTAGAACAGTGCCCCTACCTTTCTTTTTCTGGCAACAAGATTAGCTGTGGTAATGAGTTGTATAGAATATCGGAGAGAGGTTTCCATGCCTATCCTCGTTAATACCGTCATAGCATCGTCACTCATTTCAACATCCTCTTCTTCACACCTAGAAAAACATTAACATGTTGTTAACATTCTATATTTCTTTATTTTACATAATTTGACTATCAGCATCTCTTCCATTTGTTTGGGTTTAACAGCACATTGACATATTACTGGTCACACCATGCCAAACACTATGATTGTTAACATAAGATTATTAAACCTAAAAAAGTGTTAGTACAATGTTATAAAATGAGTTTGTTAAATTTTAAAAATACAGCACCTCTGTTCAGTTTTACATACTTTATATCTTGTTTTTGTATACATTTCTGTGTAAAAAATGTCGAGAAAACCTAATTTTAACCAGTAAATAAAACATTATTACATAATGCTGTTGTTAACTTGAGATTAAATAAAAATCATTTTATCATTTTCAAAAATGGCAAATTGGACAACTTCAGATACAATACTTCTATATTGACTCCACTTCTCTTGTATAATCACTAACAAATTGTTCATGTGTTGTTTTTCAAATCAGTATTTGTAAATTTTTAAGCGAAAAAGAATTACGTTCTTTAAGAGATACTAAGCATAATAATCAATCCCAAATCCGGATTCATTTCTCTTATATTCAGTCAAAAAAAAACAAGAGGGCCATGATGGTCCTGAGGTTGCTCACCTGTATATAGGCCCCCCACCCCCGGGCCAATTTTTACCCAAGGGCTTTTATTTGTTTATTTGAACAGACTTGGTAGACACCCATAAGAAGATGTTTCATGCTAAACATCTAAGTTCTAGCTCATTGGCATTTTTAAAAGAAGATTTTTAAAGTTTTTACTATACACATATAGTTAAAAATAATGTCACCCCTGGGGCAGGGCCAGTTTTGACCCCCGGGCGTTTATTTTAACAAACTTTGTAGATATTTACTTAAAGATGTTTCATGCTTAATATCTAAACTCTAGCTATTTGGGTTTTTTCAAAGAAGATTTTTAAGTTTTTGCTATACACATATAAGGAAAATCAATGACCCCCCCCCCTGGGCGGGGCCAGTTTTGACCCCAGGGCTTTTATTTGAACATACTTGGTAGACACCCATTAGAACATGTTTCATGCTAAATATCTTAGCTCTAGCTCTTTGAGTTCTTTAAAAGAAGATTTTTTAAGTTTTTACTATATGCATATAGGGAAAATCAATGACCCCCTGGGCGGGGCCAATTTTGACCCAAGAGCTTTTATTTGAACAAACTTGGTAGACACTCATTAGAAGATGTTTCATGCTAAATATCTTAGCTCTAGCTCTTTGGGTTCTTTAAAAGAAGATTTTTTAAGTTTTTACTATATGCATATAGGGAAAATCTATGACCCCCTGGGGCAGGGTCAATTTTGACCCCAGGGCTTTTATTTGAACAAACTTGGTAGACATTCACTAGAAGATGTTTCATGCCAAATATCTTAGCTTTAGCTCTTTGGGTTCTTTAAAAGAAAATTTTTTAAGTTTTTACTATATGCATATAGGAAAAATCAATGACCCCCTGGGGCGGGGCCAATTTTGACCCCAGGGCTTTTATTTGAACAAACTTGGTAGACACCGATTAGAGGATGTTTCATGCTAAATATCTTAGCTCTAGGTCTTTGGGTTCTTAAAAGAAGTTTTTTAAGTTTTTACTATATGCATATAGGGAAAATCTATGACCCCCTGGGGCGGGGTCAATTTTGACCCCAGGGCTTTAATTTGAACAAACTTGGTAGACACTCACTAGAAGATGTTTCATGCCAAATATCTAAGCTCTAGCTCTTATGGTTCTTTAAAAGAAGATATTTAAAGTTTTTTCTTTTGGTTGCCATGGCAACCAGAGTTCTGCATGGAATTAAATTCTTTGAACAATTTTTAAAGGTGACCACCAAAGGAACATTCCTGTGAAGTTTGGATGAAATTGGCTCAGTGGTTTATGAGGAGATGTCATTTAAAGCAAAAGTTTACGGACGGACGACGGACGGACACCGGACGAAAAGCGATCACAAAAGCTCACCCTGTCACTTTGTGACAGGCGAGCTAAAAATTAAAAATAATTTTAATATATAAAACTCTAGGATTACTTTTAGGTTCAAAATCAGCATTGATCTGTTAATTAACATGAATGATTCCAACAGGTGTGTAACAGAACAATAAAAACCTGTTCTTGTCTGTATAAGATATTTTAACAGGGTTTTTATCATAAACAGATTTGTGATCCATATCATCAGTTGAAATTCTGTTAAAATCTGTTGTATTTTCAGCCTGTAGATTAAAATATTCCCCTTGGCCCTTGACGAAATCATTTGTTTCTGTTGGCACATCTGTTGCTTCACCGGATTTTAATATGAGCTGCGTCATGACAAAACCAACATAATGGGTTTGCGACCAGCATGGATCCAGACCAGCCAGCGCAGTCTGAACAGGATCCATGCTGTTTGCTATCAGTTTCTCTACTTGTAATAGGGTTTGTAAGTGAACAGCATGGATCCTGATCAGACTGTGCGGATGCGCAGGCTGGTCTGGATCCATGTTGGTCGCAAACCAATTATGTTGGTTTTGTCATGACACGGCTCAATTACTATGTATGTATACATGATTGTATAAAATTACCTGATTTTAAGAATTTGTCTGATTTCTTTCTCCTCGTATGGGGATGTTGAAATAATAAGCAGTCTGTCTAGAAGATCTATAGGTATACCGTGAGGACTCTGGTAGTTTGTGCCTCGTATTCTACAATATTGTAATAACATACACGTTATATTACATAGGAACATGTAGCAATTGTATGAATTAACAAGAGTATCGTCCAATTTGTCATAAAATATGCCAATCACAAAGCACAGTCTCATAATAGGTAGAGATTTACATAAAGATCCCACTATTCATCATGACTGGATGATCAATAATCACATTTTGTGGTAGCATAGACAAGTGTGGTGGCATAGACAAGTGTTAATGTGTCAGACTAGTTATCTCAAAATGATGACAAAACCTGTATCCAGTAATACTAGAACCGCCCATCATGTGTGTGGAAGATATGCTATTGAGAAAATGTGAACATTTCATCATCTCTAATGAACTTGACCTCGCATATCTTGGCTTACATTATTTATTCGACAACTCAGTTTAGCGACACTTATGTCAAGCTATCGTTAAATCTAAAGCCATAAGCCAAAATCAGTGGCTCAAAGTGAAAATATCAATGAAATGGCTTCTACCTGGTGATTCCTCTGTTTGTTGCCATGATTAAAATAGGTGCCATATCACTCTCTAATGCTCTGTTTAAAAATGAGAAACTTTCTATATCCAACATGTGTACTTCATCAATGAATAACACCTGTAATGCAAGATTGAACAATTAAAATTTATGTATCAAAAGCACATTCTGAGGGGTGAGTTTTAAGGAGTTGAAAGAAAATAAAAGTTACTTATATGTAACAAAAGTCAAAATAAACAACAAGTGAAAAGATAAGTCAGGTTAGGCAAAATCAATTGACAGTATTCAGGTCATCCCAAGAAATGCATTTAAGCAATCTGCTTGAAAATAATAAAATTTTGCTTTTTTTTCTTTTTTTCTTTTTTTTCAGACTGGCACTAGGTGTGTTAGCTGGAAATACATAAATTATTTATTCAATATCTATAACAATATTTTTGTGAAAAAAAAATAATGGAAAAGGAAGATCTCTCTAGAGCAAATGACAATAAAAGTAAAACAGTGAAAATTGCAGATTTGATTTTATTGAGTCCTTTCATGAGAGACAAGTATATCATCCGAACAACCCCTTGCACCAGCTAAAAACAACACAAAAAGTATTGGAATCAAAGACCCTAAAATACTAACAATGATCCTATAAGGACAATAAATGATACAAAAGGACAATCAATGATCCTAAAGGACCAGATAGATAAAACAGTATAACAAAAAGTGCAAAATGCACTTGTCTTTAAATTTATTATATTAAATTATTATACTATACTAACCCCAGGAACAATTTCAGCTTTACCCTCTTCTCTCCATTCAGCAACCTTACTGTTGATTTGTTCACGAACCTCTGATTTTATCTCACCAGTATCACCTGTAAATTCACCATTTTGTATGTTATACCTTGTTACAATTTATACATAAATGTTTGATAAAAATAAAAAATATAACGTAAAAGTAAACCCAAAGTGTCATTCCACATAAATTTATATCAAAAATTATTAACCCGAATGATTTGGTAAATATTTATTACTGCCCCGAAGATCATAATAAACTTAAAGGCACTTTACCCTTTTTTGGACAGTTTTTGTATTATAATGATTTTTATTGATGCAATTATAAATGATACACATGAACAATTTCATTAAAACATTTTTTGGTGATACAGGCATGTTTCAGTTTGGACAGTCGAAGGCTACACAATCTGTCTTTAAGAGTGAAATCTACATTTCAATTTGTTTTGCGATTTATTATGCTAACTATAACTCCAAATAAAGAACATTCAATAATATGGACAGCAAAGTAATATTGTCAGGTTCACTGTCTATTCTAGGATTTGGAAAACAGGGGATTTTTATATCGAAATGTGAGAATTTATAACATTTGTTGATCTTTTTACTTCTTTCTCTAATGTAAATTTTCCCCCTGTATCTGAAAAAATAGGGTGAAATTCTCAAAATCCCCACGTCCAACCTCCTAGAATAGACATTGCAGGTTTAATATCTTATAAAAACCACTACAAAAACGGACATTTTTATTTCAACAATATACAGTAAATAAGAGATATAATAGGATGTGTATTATATGATGATATAGGGGAGAAAACTAGTATTTTACCTGAGAAGAGAGCTAGGAAACCCTGAGTTCTACTGTTAATGACATCTATCTCGTGTAATGTTACAGTATGTACTACTTCTTTTCTCTTCTGTAACTCCCCTTCAGGACATTGCACAAATTTTGTCTGGAAAGGATATGAGGTAGCTAAGTTATAATATCATTTTACATTCAATAGGTCTGAAATGGATAAAACAATCGTAATTCCAAACTTCTGAAAAGTTAGTGACACTATCCTTTATACTATGACTTTTGTAAGAAATCTATAAAGTGTGGGTGGTTGTCAAAAATAACATAGTCACCTGAGCTCCCATAGCATCATAATCTCTTGCTCTCGTAAATGATCTTCCAAGTTTTGTAATCTTGCCCGTAGCTTTGTCTATTGTTATGATATCTCTGTTTAAAAAAAAGAAAAATATATAGGCTTTCAACTGAATGAATGTTATTATCCTCCACACACTGTTGTTAAATAGGATTTCATATTAGTATATAACTGTTCTTTAACCATAACCCTACTGGAACCAAAAGTGATAAAACTGTCACTAGTATAGAGCCAGGCTAGCTAGCAAATCTATGCAGTCTGACCAGGCTCTATTTGGTTGGCTGAAAAATAGATAACAGATAGTACCAAAAGTGGAAGCTGGACAAGTCCATTTAGAAATTCAACAGGTTATGGATAAAGAGACATTGTTTGATGCTAAATCATACCTCATACTTCAACCTCTAATCCTGAAGACTTTGACTTCCATTAAGTTCCAAAAATTTGAAGTCGGAGACTGCAAAATCTCTGACATTGGAAGTCACATTATATATGTAAAGAAGGAAAAGTATTGAATTTTGGAAGACACAAGCGAAAGTCAAGGAGTTAATGACTCCCAAACTTCCATTAATGGAAACCCATAAACAAGAAATCACCACACATCTTGTGGCTATTATTTATTAAGTTTTTCTTTGGTAACAAAATTAAACAAGATTACTAGAATTCAGCAAAGCATGCAATATTAAATATTTCAACAGGAAAATGAAAGTTTCTAGGCAAGTGTTTAAATTTGCCTCATGCATCATTAATTAAATCTACAATCTGAGGAATTTGGATCCAAAATTAATTTTATCATTTCTCAGTGCCGTCATTACATCATGTAAAATAATAAACTCCGGGTTGTCAATTCGAGGCAGTGTCAGGTCAAAATGTTTACCTCAAATGGCTTGTGGGCCGCTTCTTAGAAAACACAAAAAAAATCGCCTTTTATTTAAAACAAACCACATCAAATTCTTACCCAGCCTGTACTTTTTCCTTAGTAAGAGATTCTATCATTTTCTGCCCAAGATCGTATATGGTCTCCATCTCTGTCGTCTTTAGCGTCAACTTGCCAACTTTTGCACCCTGTCAAACATTCAATAATAGAATATATAAAATATTCACAATGCTGGAACCAAAAGTGATTACATATGATTATGAGAAAAGGTCAAAAACTAGACCAAAAATTATCAATGGTTAAAGTGTAGGAAAGAAGAGGAAATGTTAAGTATTTCTTTGTGTTATGTATGGGAGACATCTTTATTTACACCTTGCATTGTTTAAGCCATTACAAATGCATTAGTGAGGATGTGATTGTGAGAAAACTAGGTGTTGTGTTTGGTTTGTTTTATTTATTAACACTGAATGTTAACATACATAGGAAGTGAAGTTACATTAATAAAATAAACAAAGTTTTTGCAGAAAAGTGACATCACGTGACATTGCGTCAAATTTTTAACAATTATTCTGTTATAGAAAGATATCTGAATGTTTAATGAAAACAAAATCATTGTTAGATACTTAATGTTAACTTTCTACCTAAATACATTAGTAAATACATGTAAAAGATCAAATACTATGGCCTGCTGCCAGTTGAAAATAAAGAAGTTTTTGTCCACATATTTTTGTTTACTTTTCTTTCCTCACTTACTACTGATCATAAACTGTTAACTAAATATCAAAAAGAAAGACAATTTGTTTTTTAATTCAAATGGTCATTATTTACAAATACAAAGAAGATGGTTTTCTTACTTTCGAGTCGGCCCATAATGCATTTGAGGAGTTCATTTTGGCCTCAAGCTGCCTCTTAATGACAATACTGTACAGTGATTTTTTCCCCTGTATTTTACAGCCTAATAAAGGCTGTTCCCCTAGCACAAAATAGGTATATTTCCCCCTAAAATGCCCTGCACACATTCATCACAAGAGCAGCTGACTTGTATCAGCTAGAAGACAAAAAGTTGTCCCTAGTATTGATAGCCTCTGCTATGAACCATGCATGTAAAATTGAATTGAAATTGAAAATTTAAAAAAATTTCATTCTCAGTTTTTAAATTTCATTCCTTTTCTGATTTCACGCCCAATATTTTCCCCTTAGAAAGCCACAGGTTGTTTTGAAAATTGGAGAAAAAAACTCACTGCTGTATAATACACTATCAGCATGTAGATACTTACAGTTCCTGTAGCAGGTCTGTCTATCTGTATCTCTACAACTTCACCTTCTATAATCTCAGTCTCTTCTCTGTAAATATCATAACAATGTTCTGTCAGCACTGTAATTCTCCTTATCTTAGACATAGTTAACCATTTAAAACATTTACAATATTGCTGTAGCCTCTTATACATTAGTGTCTATTATTTCTATGCAACATCACTTATACTATAGGGTAGAATGACACTAGATATATTCAAATTTGTGTTGTTGTTTTTTTTTTAAAGATACACTATGCTCAAATTTCATACTTGAAAATATTTATATTTTATTGCTACACAGTCTCTTTGTAAATACAAAACAAACTTGTTTTGACTTCACACAAAGTTTAAATTCTACACACTATAGGTGGTTACAATATAAATAAATAGTGTCATTTAAAAAACCGGCTTTTTTTTTTAAGAAAAGACCAATTTTATTTGACCTTTAATAGGAAATACAGCTTCCAATACATAATTTATTCATTCTTTTATTCAGATTAGACATATTGGGTAAGAATTTATAAATTTCTGTGATAAAAATATTTTACGAAAGGATGAGCATATTATATCTTTAAATAACACTCTTACCCTACAGGTAAAATTATTAAATTAAGTTAATGGCACATTTTAGTTTACCTGGTGACAGGAAGACTGTATATAAATAATGCTACATATTTCTAGGCATTTACCAACAGTGAAGATACAAGTATCTGATCTTGAAACCATTTGCTAAATGGTTAGCAACCTTAGTTTCATTATAGAATTCCTGTTTTAAATGTCATGAACTCCAATGGATAAAGTATAAGCAAAATAAAGCTAGATTAAGCTGACTATGTAAACTGCACTCTAATATAAAAGAGAATAAAAGTAAGGCAAGTATTGTTAGCAGTTAACTTCATGTCTTTGTTTTGTTTGTATATTTTGTTTGGTTTTATGGCGCACCACAACACAATTTATGCCATACGGTGTCAAAACTGGAAAGATGAATTTGGCTAACCACATATCACTTAGTATTACAAACATAAAGCACCAACAGGGGCAAAAAAAGCATAGACTCCAGTAATTTGATCCATTAAGTCAATCCATCTTAAAATCACACAGGGGAAAAATTGGCATATCATGATGGAATTAATCTGATACTTGTTCAAGCTGAACTTACTTGATCCTAACTCCGATGGATTTCCTGAATGCTTGGGTAAGAGCCTCTGTTTTTCCCATTTCAAGAGAGAATATTTCACTGCCAGCTATACTTGTAAATGGTGTATCTGAACCCAGTGCTTGAGCCATACCTGCAAATGTAATTTCATACTTAACTTTAACCTCATGTTCATTTTAAGTATACCTACATGTTTAATTTCATACTTAAACCTCAGAGTCCATTTTATAAATACATAGATGTTTAATGTTATATACTATGTGGCTTAAACCTCAAGTCCATTTTTTACATACCTACATTTTTAATGTCAATGTGTCGTACTCATACCTCAAGTACATTTTTTATGCATACTTCCATGTCCTTTCTATGAATACCTACATATTTAATGACATACTTAAACCTCAAGTCCAGTTAATGCATGCCTACAAGTTTAATAATCAAATATTATTATTAACTGTAACTAAGTCCATAAACCTTAAATATATTTAATGTCATACTTAAACCCCCAAGTCTATTTGATGCATACCTACATATTAAAATGTCATTGTTTATTAAACTTATGGTCAATTTTATAAAAAAAATTAAATTAAGTCTACAGTGCTGTTAAAACTGATTTGAGGCATTTTCCTTAACAACATATGTTTTTAACTGTTACCAAACTATATCTATAGATGATAAGGGCCTCTACTGTTTCTGAAATATCTTATAGGTCAATACTAAATTTCTGGGATTACATTAATTTTGAAATAAATTACACTAATAGGAATTCCCTATAAAAATCATAGAAAAATTTTTTTTTTAAAAGTTGCCATTGTTTTTACGGTTGAGTTAATTGTGATGAAGATTAAATTGTCATTTCTATTGCTATGATGTTTTAAAATAATGACCATCAGACAAAATGGCAGATCTGTAAAAATTTTAATCAAATCTAAACAATTATCTATAGCAAGCAGGGATATTTTTGAATTATTTTATGGCTATTATTGGGTCATATTCCAAATTGAAAATAGTATATTATTTTCCCAATTCACAGAAAAAAATTCCCAATTGAAAGTTACAAAATAAAAATATTGAATAAAAATTCTAAAATCTTTGCAAATAATTGCTTCTTCACTGTAATAGTGTTTAAATGTTTGAAGATGCCATCATAGAAATAATTGTTTGTATTCATTTAATCACTGCAAAATTTCAGTCATGCATTTTTCCCAATTTTTAACAAAACACCGCTGAAATTCCCAATTCCATGGGTATGGGTCATGTTCCCTAAATCCTGGGAAAAAAAATCCCTGGCAAGCAATCATGCACCTACCCATAGCTATGGCAGTTTTCCCAGTACCAGGATGTCCAGCTATCAACAGTGCTCTTCCAGCAATTTTTCCCTCCTGAAATAAAGAACAGAGATTTATTCCATTGAAAACTTTTGTTAATCATCTATCATTTGTTAAATATTACAGTCATGATGATTCATGAGAAGTGGTAACATCTTTCATGTGTGGGTGTTTGTAGTTTTCCCTCCAGATCACAGCAGCAAGTCTAAATTAAATTCACTAGAACAACATCTTCATTCTAACCTATTTTACTAAAGTCAATCACAAACCAAATACATAATCATGCTACAAGGCTCCAATTATACCTGTAAGTACATGTAAAAGCCTGTACACCACAAAAAATGTCTTACTTTATTCCAACTGATAGACTAGCCACACTATTAACAAGTTAGTTGCTAGGACTTCAAGAATAAAAGCAATTCAAATTCATCTCCAATGTGTCCAGTCAGACTGCATACAATGTACATATGAATGCAGTGTCTATTCTAGTAATTCAAAAATAGGGATGAATTTCCCCTCAGCCACTCACTTAGTATTTTTAAAGTGACTTAAAAAAAATAGGGGTGATTTTCCAAAAACATTAGAGTGCCAAAAAAGTTGTTTGGATCAACCTCAGACGGTCTTTTTCCAAGAAACTTACAAGATAAATAGCTATAAGGATCTCAGCGACCTTATTTTACATAGTCTTATAAAACTTTTGAACTATGCATCCCCTGAGAAAGATGCTTAATAACACCAGTTTATGAAAGAAATGTAATTATATGTGTATTAGTTTTTTCTATGACATATTTGTCTGCACTTTTTTCGTAGAAACGTTTAAACCAATATTCTTTGAGCAAACATAATTCTATTTACAGCTACAAAAGTTGTCTCCTTCGATTTTTTCGACGAAAACATTGATTTTATTTGTTACAGTTACCTCCTTCAGTTTCTTGTGTCCATGTCAACAAATATGCCAACTTTTTGATCATGTTTATAAATCAAGATGTGGGATTTTCACAAACATGCCTCATAAATGTGCATGATTTTTGCAAAAAGTGCAAATCCTAGAATAGACACTGTATAAAGTGGCAAATTACATCTGTAGGCTGTCAGTATAACAGAACAGAGTACTCAGTAATGGCTAATCCTATTTCTGCATATTTTGACACATTAAAGATAATTTCTGCAGATTCATCAGGTAATTTGTATGTTTGTGTCACGGTTCAGAACAGTTCACTATTTAGGGGAGAAGATGTGTAAGCAGCCGGATAGCTCAGTCGATAGAGCCGCGGTACGGTATTCAGAGGGTCCCGGGTTCAAGTCCCGGTCAGGCTGCACATTTTTCTCACCCTGTGACATTTGTATAGTGTAAACCTCTGCATGGTGCACTTGTAGGATGTGCTGCTTTTAAACAGAAAATACACATAAAAATTTCTTCACCTTAATCATTTCAAGGATGACACCAGCTGCTCGCCTAGCATCCATCTGTCCCACCATTCCCTGTGACACATTGCGAGCTTCCAAAGCATCATCAAGACCTAAACCTCGGATATGAGAATGAGCACCTGTACAACAAAAGAAACAATGGTCAACATAAAATTGTATCAAATTTACCAATTTTTCAGTGGTAACACTGCCTGACAACAAATATAATGGTTGCAAGTTCTGCCTGACAACAAATATAATGGTTGCAAGTTTTATCTGTCACTTTTCTTTGCACATTTTCTATTAAGTCTTTACTGGACTTTAAATCAAATGTCTGTGTATTAATGCTCTAAATCTTCATGTTTACCTTTACCTCACCTAAATATCTTTAATAGACTTCTCTGTTTTCAGACTGAACAAAACAATTTGACCATCTTTAGAGAAAGTCCTTGTATTAAAATATGTACTGACCAAATACTTAGTAACAACAATTAATACAATGATCAGACCGCACTCTCTTCGTGCTCTAGTTAAATTACTCCTTCATTAACCTAATATTGACCTTTAACATCAGTGAATATAAATGCTATTAAAAAAAGACCAAAGTTACTTTACAAAACAGATTTGTTTGCTCAAAACCAAATGTAAAACATCATATGAGTAGACATGTACACCATATATATTTCACTTCATTATTAAGTAATGAAGAAAATTAGGCAAATAGGTATTTCAATCATGTCCATAATATTTGCCGCAAAAACTAACAAGTAAATTGTTATTTTTGAAATGAAGCCAAACACGAGAAAGTATATACAGTAATTTACCAATTCGCTCGATCCTAGTGACCTCTCTGATTTCCTGTACCTTGTCAGCTGTAGGCTACAAATAGAAAATACAAATATTGAGCCATAGTTGTTTTACGTAATCAATGGAATTATTTAACAGTTTTATCATTCAGGGACGGCAAAATCAATTGTCCATATTGCCCAGGTTGTCCCACAGCCTGTACGGACAAGTGAAAAATTGTCCCACAGCCTGTACCGACAAGTGAAAAATTTCAAGAATAAACTATGTAAATATCATACGGACAAGTTAAAAAATGCTTCAAATAAAAATGGACAAGTTAGTCAAAATCAGATTTTGCCGGCCCCTATCATTTACAGTGCTTTTTACATTTTTTCACATTTAGGAGGATGGTGGCAGTGTTGCATCTAGGCTGCACGTTTTGTCCATTTTTTATGCTGATCGCGCATTTTAATGAAGTCAATGCGCGCCAAGTCGCGCATCTGATGATCTTTTCAACTTAATTCAGTTTATCTACATTGTATCTTGAACGCTTCAGCCATGTTTGTTTTCACTCGTGGTTATGACTAAAATACGTACTAAATCGCGTGTAGCAGCTGACTGGGTAATTTCCTTGTTTGTGTTTTGTAGTATTCGTCAATACTTTATTTTTTCTTCTTCCGTTTTTGAGCTGACAATAGATGTCAAAAATGCCTGAACGTAAAATAAATGAATTCTTTTCTGTATGTCATAATGTAAGGTAAATGTATGTCCCCCACATTTTTTTTTCAAATCCCCCACATTTTTCAGTTAAGTGGGGTACAATCCCCAATAATTTTGAAATTCTAGATGCAACACTGTGGTGGTAGGGCCCACAGAGGGAAAAATTGAGCTGCAAAGGGGAAAATAGGCAAAATATTAAAAAACAAACAAAAACAATCCATATTTTCTTAAAGGGACTCCACTGAGGTTTTTTGACATGATGGGACTGGAAATAATTTTTTTAGATTATTACTCCATTTGATTTAGATCTAAACTAATAACTTATGTGTAAATTTCAGATCATTAGCTCGCTCCTTTTTTCCAGAATAATTATTATAATAGTGAAAAATGACCAAAAGCTGAAAAGCTCAAATCGGATTGAGAAAAGCACAAATAAATGATTTTCAATGTATTTCTTGTATATTTCTTGGTTATATTTTATTTATATTTCTGTTTTAAAAGCTGCACGCCTCCAGATGAACGAAAATATTTCAATAAAATCAAACTTGAGAAAAATGTACTAAGTTTTTAGGAAAATCAAAAATATTCAAGTAATTATTCACATGTTATATGCAATTAATGACTGATTTTTCAGTATTTATAACTATGTTAATACTCCGTTACTAACGCACTAAGGGCTACTTTTGCATATTTTGTCCTCTTTTTAGTAATTTACGTGTGTTGGAAGTGTCATTTATAATGTTTAAATTGCTTCCTTTTGATAATTTCACTAAATAATACTTTAAAATTATTTTCAAAATTTTCATGAAAATTAGCATGAATCTGGAGGCGTGCTGCTTTAAGTGCTCCTATATGAAAAATTATTTTTTTATGTTTTTAGGCTGATAAAAATCAGTTGAGTTCCTTTAAACATACTTATAGAATAATTTCCTTAAATTACGTAACTAAAGATATTAAATGAAACCAAGGCTAATTTATATATATATTCCAATGCCAAAATGGCCCGTGTCACCACATAGTGTGATAGAGTGATATAAACTGATAAACTTTATAAAAGCGGGTGGGGAACAGCACATGTTATTCAAACAGAAGACAAGTATAAACAAGAGTGCAGAACAACAATAACTCAGCTGCTCTTAAAGTGCAAAAAATGCACTTATATTAAGAAAATGCAGTAAAAATAAAAAATATCAATTCAAATGACATCAATGTCTTATTAATTTGAAAAATTTTAACAATATTTTTTTACCACTGCCATCTTTGTTTAATTCCAGACTGTGTTAACAAATCAAAAGTGGAGACGTAAAATATAAACGTTCAAATCTAATATCTCATCAATGGACCAGTCTACACATGGCAACGATTTCCGCGTCTTAAAGGGAGGCAACTCTAGAATATTCTCGAATGTTTCGTGCATAAACACGCATTAATCATAATGTCCCTTCAACTTACGTATTTGTCAATTAACTCAATTTTATAGTAAAAAGTGCGATTTCATATATTCTTTGAGTGTTGTAATTTCATGACATTCGACAAATATAAAATTGGCGGTGGGGAGGGATCGCCTATAGAAAAGCCGGGATCTGGGATCGTATTCAACATATTGACCATCATTCTGTTCTCGGTGTCATCGATAAATTGTCGATTATTGCATGCCTTTTGTGAAAGATATGCTTGTGATATGCTTGTTTATAATTTTAATGATGTTTTTTGTTGTTGATGGCTATGATGTATTTTTGTATTTGAATGATTTTCGTTGAGACTCGCATGTAGGCCTACTGTATACATGTTTCTTGGTTGGTTATTTCGATCATATATGTTTGATAAAGAAAACTTTTAATTAATAACAGCCGTACTAGAAATACTACAATTTGTACGAAAATAAAGTTTAGATTATTATTATAATTATAATTGTTGTTGTTGTTGTTATTATTATTATTATTTGAATGTTTTTGTAGAGCTTTTTGAATAAGTTTGATTTGTAGTAGTTATGAAAAAATCTTTTAACAATTTTTTTCACAGATGAGAACGTTAATTGACCTCAGAATGTCACACACCCATGATCATATTTAATATTGTAAGTACATGTAGGCCGACTGGCAGTGGAAGTCGTTGTATATTGGTTTCGAGATATTGACACAATCGACACGTGCCCTTTTATAATATTAGAGACACCTGTCTGGTGACCCAAAAGTGTGATTGCTACCACGGATTTATATTACATATAAATCGTACGTAAAGTGAGATTAAGCGGGGTTTTTTTTATTATTTTATTATATTCCGTCGGAACCTGAAAGAACTCCGTCAGAATCCGCTTGAAAAAATAACATTAGTGATCTGCCTTAATTGTTTTATCGTGTTAGAATCGAAATAACATCGGCCAGAGAGGTGTATATCGGCTATTTAACACCAGTTTTGTCGTTTTGATGCGAAAAAAATAACCACTCAGGCATACGGCCTTCGTGGTCAATTCCTACGCATCAAAACGCCAAACCGGTGTTAAATAGCTGATATACACCTCTCAGGCCAATGTTATTTCTTAAATAAAAATGCTTTTTATTGTTGCTTTAAAAGGCTTTGCTATATAATCGAGGGTAAAAACATAACAGCCGCATATACAAGTAGTCCCTAACCAGTGTTTATTGGTAGTTTAACTCCGTTTTTTTCCTTCTTTGTCTATAGTGACAAAATCACGTGGAGTGATAGAATTATTGTTTATACTTTGCGGAACGGAACGGAACAAACATTGAGGCACCACACGGGACACAACATTTTTACTAATATGTAAATATATTAAATAAAAATAATGAAATATTGAAAATGCCTAGCGAACAGTCGATCTAGGGCTTTTTCGAACTGAACCATCTGAATACCCACTTCTAAATGGACATTATTTATATAAAATCTTCGGGACTGCAAACAGTTGTTCCGTTTTGTTCCGTAAAGTATAAATATCCCATAGAATAATTATATTCTACGGAACGGAACGGAACAAGATTTATTTTTTCTTTTCAATGGAATTTTTCATCCTGGTATATTGCAGGTACATGAATTTATTACATGCAACCTGTTTTAAAAAACTATGTTCTTGACTTAGTCAATATAGGAAA